TGAAATATGCTCTAAATTTCACATAACAGTGCTGTAAAATTTTTAAACAGGAGCAAAATAATAAAAAAAATAAAAGACATCTAGCTAATGTCAGCTACTTGTTTCTTTACATATTTATATGGCATAAACAAAGGAACAATGAAAAACTGAGTTCCCTCATTCAGAAAATTATTGGGCTTCTATGTGTCTGAACTGTGGAAGGAATTCTGTTTTTAGTTATCTAAAGACAGCCAGCCAGCATATTCTCTACTGAAGAGGGTACAAGATCTTAAGAAATGTTACTGTAAAGTAGGATGAAAACCAGGAGAGCATGGAAATCATAGCTCTACCATGTCAGCAAGCCAAATACTAAACTTACTTAACACCAAGGGCATTACTGATGAACTACTGGAGAAGTTTCAGAGGGAGGACAGTCAGAGTACAGTGGGTGGGAATCAGCAGGAGGTGAAAAAAGGCAGACAGCATGGGAAGAAAGAAAACTCACAAGTCTGGTTGGAAAGGAGAAAGGCAGCAGTAATGGAGTCTGAGTCGGGTGTGGGACAGGAAAGAAGAGCCTTTTTAAGTTTGTTATAAAGGGGAGACAGAATGTGGTGAAGGAGCTGGCAGAGTGGCTCAAACAGTAGAGTGAAGCCCTGGGTTCAAATTCAGTAATTTTAAAAAAGTGTTTAAAAGCTTGTAAGGAGGTGAAAGGGAAGGATGGAAGGAGGAAAGGAGAGAACGGGAAAAGGACAGGGAGAAGGAGGGCAAGGGGGGTGAAGATTTAGGTAGAGAAGGAAACTGATGAAGGAAGGAAACGGGAGGAAGCTGGGGAGGTGCAAACAAGAGCCTGATCAGAGGTGGAAGAGTACTGTAGCTCCAAGTGTTGGCTTCTAACCACAAAGACGGAAGAACAGTGGAGACACAAAAGAGACAGGTGGTTTCCTGTTACTGTCCTTAGTAATAACAGCCACTCTAGCAGCTGAAGTAAGAAGTAATTGAGCCAAACAGTATGTCAAGGACTTTAACCAGACTAACTCATTGAATCATCACAAAAGCATTAAAAGGTAGGTAGCTCTCTACAAAGGAATAAATGTAGTTAAATAGAAGCATCAACATGGTAAATAAAACATGCAAGTCTTTGATAAAATATAATGTAGAACACAGAAGAGGGAATGGTAAATCCTATAAGGGAAGTAAAAAGAAGGATGAGAGAAAAAAAGTAATATCTCATATACGCATGAAAACCTGAATATAACTACCAGGAAGACAAAGTAAAAAGTAATACTGAAAAAAAGCAGAATGAAGAGTCTAAGCAAACATACAGAGAATCAAAAGGCATTCGCCGCGAAAACTACACATTCTTATGCACTAAGCCCACCCCACTGACTACAGATTCTTAATAGTTCATTTCCTCAGTCTCGTTTCCCAAAATCTATCAATGACAAACTGTTGTTCTACTTCTGACTTTCAGTACCTAAGTTGTGTTTATACACTGAGCTTAAACTACTCAACAATGTGCACAGTATCATTGACTAGGACATCCTAGAGATGTTCAAATGTCTTACAGAATTGTCTGGCCATGACAGAAACTAGGAAACTCAGGAGAGGGAACGCTAATATCCTAAATCATCCAGAGGAACTCCATAGTTTTGTAACATGAACCACTCGCAAACAGGAAGTATACGTATGCATGCTCTAGAGTAGTTGAAAAGCACACATAGGGTTGTGGGCCTTATTTTTAACTAATATCATATATAATAATTTATGGCAAAACAACTTCCTTTTATCCTATATGGATCTCTTTTATACCTACAAACAAGTAGTTAAAATAATTTGTAACTATTTCAAAAGAATCTTTAACAAAACACAATTCCAAATTACTGCAATTATCCAAGGAATATTTTTACGGTAAATTATTACTTTACCCATATAAAATCTGTTTCTCAAATCCTAGATACAAATAAGATAATCAAATTGAAAAAGACATGATACAAGAATCTATACTTTTTTATTTTCTTTCTTTTAGATTATTTTATCACTGATATCAATTTAAATATGGTTGAGGTTATTTATCCCACTCCTGTATGGCTCTTATTTTATATTAAATGAAGAGAAATAAGGTGCCTTTCTAACTGTATTTAATCAGTAAAAAGCTTAGTTAGGCTCAAACTGAGGTTCTCATTCAGTCACATGTCATTAGTGAGTTTTTACTGATTTAGTTGACGTGAATAACATTTGCATCTATTTACCTAGCATAATGTGATGTTTCTGTATGTGGAAACAACTGTGGAAAATCAAATCAAAGTAAAAACATACTCATCACCTCATAAGCTTATCATTTTCTTATGGTGAGTACATTTAAAATCTAAACTCACGGCAATTTTGAAATACACATTATTATTACCTATAGTGACAATGCTGCACAATAAATTGCTCCTGTCTGACACTTTCTTCCTCTCCTTCCTGCCCCAATTTCTATAATCATTCTAGTTTCTATTTCTATGTGTTTGATTGTTTTAGACACCACATACAAGTAAGATCATTAAAAATTTTTTTTCAGTGCCTGGCTTATTTCACTTAACATAACGATCTCCACTTTCATCCATGTTGTTGAAAATGAGAGAAGTTCCTCCTTTTTTTAAGACTGGACAGAATTTAATTTTGCATACATATATTTTCATTATCCATTCATCTGCTGATAGATACTTCTGCTGTTTCCATCTCTTAGCTACTGTGAATAATGCTGCAATGAATACATGACTGCATGTCATGTATTTCAAAATACTAATTTTGATCTCTTTGACTATTTACCCAGAAGTGGGATTGCTGGAACCTATACTAATTTCATTTCAAGTTTTTTAGAGCAACTCCACAGTTTTCTAAAATAGCTATAGTAATTCACATTCCCACCTACAGTGTGCAACTGTTCCCATTTCTCCACATAGTTTTTAACATTTTTTTCAAATCCATATGTTGAGTACACTTTATTTTCCTGAGTTTTTTATAAATGTGGACATTTATAACTTAGATTTTTTAGGACATTTATTTGCTAGTTAAAATTCACATTAGTAACTCTATAAACCCAAAAGATAAAGTCAGCATAAAATGGAATATTTTTTAAAAACTGTAAGTATGTGCTACTGAATATTAAGTTACATGCAGAACTTAGGAAAGGAAAAATCTGTTTCCTTATTGCTTTAATTCAGCTCAAACTTTAGGCAAATGAAAATTAAAATAGAATGCAAATACATTAGTAGAAGAGATGGAAAAATATTTCCAATTCCCTGAGTAAATGATAAAATTCAAGTTTTCTTACATATTCTTCAAAGTTTTAAACAACATATCTTAATCTCAAGCTACAATATTAACTGAGTTAAACACTTCAACTGGTTTAACTCTTGGGGATATACCCAAAAGACTGTTACTCCAGAGGCACCTGCACATCCATGTTTATTGCGGCACTATTCACAATAGCCAAGTTATGGAAACAGCCAAGATGCCCCACCACTGACGAATGGATTAAGAAAATGTGGTATCTATACACAATGGAATTTTATGCAGCCATGAAGAAGAACGAAATGTTATCATTCGCTGGTAAATGGATGGAATTGGAGAACATCATTCTGAGTGAGGTTAGCCTGGCTCAAAAGACCAAAAATCGTATGTTTTCCCTCATATGTGGACATTAGATCAAGGGCAAACACAACAAGTGGATTGGACTTTGAGCACATGATAAAAGCGAGAGCACACAAGGGAGGGGTGAGGATAGGTAAGACACCTAAAAAACTAGCTAGCATTTGTTGCCCTTAATGCAGAGAAACTAAAGCAGATACCTTAAAGCAACTGAGGCCAATAGGAAAAGGGGACCAGGAACTAGAGAAAAGGTTAGATCAAAAAGAATTAACCTAGAAGGTAACACCCACGCACAGGAAATCAATGTGAGTCAATGCCCTGTATAGCTATCCTTATCTCAACCAGCAAAACCCCTTGTTCCTTCCTATTATTGCTTATACTCTCTCTACAACAAAATTAGAGATAAGGGCAAAATAGTTTCTGCTGGGTATTGAGGGGTGGGAGCGGGAGGGGGTGGAGTGGGTGGTAAGGGAGGGGGTGGGGGCAGGGGGAGAAATGAACCAAGCCTTGTATGCACATATGAATAATAAAAGAAAAATGAAAAAAAAAAAATGCTACAAAGTCCTGCATTCAAGGATCATACTCTGATAGACTGTTATCTTTATAGGTGCAGGCATGAGTGTTTATTTCCCCCACATAAACTTGTTATAATTATTATAATTCATTTTATTATAACAATTATATTATCACCTTGCTGATTTTTTACATTATAAGTTACTGTAAGTACATTTTAACTTTAACGAAAGTAATTTTGAACAACTGACATTCTAAACTCTTTTAAATGGTTGGAGGGAACATTGCTAATGGCAATGAATCAGGTAAAAAGAAAACAGTATAATGTTACTATCTTCAGTTAATTAGGAGCAAAGCATCTATAATTTCACAAATCATAGACAATGTAATTTGAATTGAATATTTTTGCATCAATTTCATGACAAACTGAATAATAAACTATTCTTAATATTCCAAAAAAAAAAAACACTTCAACTGGTTTAAACTTGTGGTTGTAAGAGATGTTTGGTTGCTAAATACTCTGTGAAAACTTATGGGTGATTCATTCCAACTCCATGGGCTACACCCAGGTAACAAGAAGTTTACTGTCCCTCTTTGTCAATATAAAAGGAAACTAGTTCCTTAAAGTTGTGCCTTAACACACAGCAAAATTCAAAAGAGTAAGAGAACAATCCATGTGGTGGTTTTATGCTATAGTTACATTTGTAGATGCCTAACACAGGAAAGGAGATATGGTAATGCACTCATCAAAAAAAGAAAAGAAACAACACTAACCTTAGATTTAAATTGGGTACAGGTAATCCATATATAGACAAATCAACAGTATCATAAAATACACATTTAATTACTAACTTAAAGAAACTAAAATGACTTACATCATCTTCATATTTAATATGAATGTCTTTTACTTGTACATTTTTTATTACTTGAATTGCCAATTTTTCCAAAAATGTATCCTTTTTGTCTTATCTACAAAAAGTAGAAAAATAAAAGCTCAGGGGCTGAAATTCTCACATAACTCTTAACCAAAGACCAAAGGAGAGCTGAGGTACTAACTTAATAGAAATTACACCTATTCTTGTCTTTTTTTTGAAAGATTTATTTCAGACTATGGTATGCATTTCCAACTTAAAATTTATTTATGCAGTTAAATTGTAATCTAACATTCATTTTACCTTCCAAGAGGGAAATCAAGTGGCAATGTGTATAAAAACACATGGCATAAAAACTACTTTCACTTACCTGTTGAATGATCAAGACCTTTAAATTTTTTCTTAAAATATTTTTCTGCTTTTTACACTTATGCCCTTTTCAGTGGAAGCATTTTAGTGAGAAAAGAATAAAATTCAAGTTAGTAGACAAGAGGACAGAAAAGAAAATAAGAATTCTTCCTGACAACAAATCTTCATTCAATTCACTGTTACCCTAACCTGGCCTATTATTTCCATACAAACACAAGGTCACAAATATTGTTTAGTCTAGACTAACAATCTTCAGTAAAGAATAACCTTCTTAAATCTAGAAAACAACTTGATGGGTGCAATTATTTTCTGCATAAAATATCTGCAAATTTCTGCATAAAGAATAAAAGGACATTGAAAACAATGTCCTTTATAATATTTATGACTTTACAATCCAAAGTTTCACTTTAACATCAATGCTACCAAAGTATTGGAAATAAAATAATGACAATACAAAATTTTCAGGAAAAGGTTTTGATAAATGTGTGGTACATAAGAACAAATAAAATGAATGGATAAAATGCTGACAGATGAAGTCCACTTGATGATACAACTCACAAAATCATTTGATGAGCTGCTGGAGTGGCTCAAGAGGTAGGAGCACCTGCCCTTCAGGCGTAAGACCCTGAGTTCAAACCCCAGGGTTTGAAAAAACAAACAAAATCATTTGATGAGTTAAGTATATAAATAAGAGGAGCACAAAATGGACATTGGACTGTACATTCAATTAGTCCAGTAATTCTTTTAAAGCTTCATCCTCTTTATTTGGTATTCTCTCAATACATTTTGTCATTAACCAACACCTTTCTTACCCAAACTTTGCAATTTTTAAATCTAACTGCCTATTAGGCATCACCTCAAGCCCAAACTTTGAGTAGTCTCTGCACAGTCCTCTTGCCTCTGAACCTCATCTCCTACTAACAGTCCTTCTATACCACTACCAGATTGGTGTCTTCTAAAACACTGAGTCTGCTAATCCCCTATTCACAATTATTTAAAGGTGCTGTGCAGCATGCCAGAGAAAATCAAAATGTGTCTGCATGACACAGAAGGTCCTACCTGTTCTCCTCTATCTCCTTACACTGAAAAGTACAGAAATGTTCTTTGTCATTTCAGAACAGGACATACATTCTAAGTAAGGCCTAAAGCTTCTCTATACAGGTCATTCCCTAACCTTTGGTTGCCCTCAGTGAATGAAGTTCTTTACCTGGCAAATTTCTAGGGGCTTTCAATCTCAAGACAAGGACTACAGCTTCTATAATTGCTTTTTACTCCTTTAAGCAGCACCATGGACTAAACCCAATGGAGAATTTCAATTAGCAGTGGTTACACTGTATTTTTAGTGTTAGAGAAATTCTCTTTTCATCAGGCAGGAGGTTTTATCTGGCAGGAGCCTTCCCTTAGAACAAGGACTAATCTATGGGCACAAAGTACACAATACTTACCTGTTTGAATGAATCAAAAAATCCACATTTGAATCTTGTAACAAAACATGTAAACTCAATGTTATATGTATTTAAAAGAATGTATGTGAAATTTAACTTGAAATTTCTAATCTGCTCATTATATGCAAACTGTTCTACTACAAAATTAGGAACACTATTCTGATTACCAGAATACAATTCTGAGTTTCAAGAAGAAAGCACTTAGTAAATATATAACTGTGTTAGCAATGCACAGATACTAGTGTTACTTGCCACGGCAACAGCCCTTGACCCTATTTCATTAAAAAATTAAAAACATACAAAAGGACTATGTTTTCAAAAAAAAAAATACCATTTGAATGAAATAAAGTCAGACTAGCTGCTAGAACAGCATTCAGAATGATGTAGATTCTCTTCATATCTCACCTGTTATTTTCCAGCTGTTCTAGCCCCATGTCCTACCTTTGATCTCAATGTTAGATGCACCATGACAAACATCTCCAGTTTCAGATTTACGTAGTTTTTCTGATTCTCGATTGCACTCCAAAACAGTTCTCAAAGATTTGGCGTCAGGACCCTTTCACACATTTAAAGCTTGAGGATTCTAAGGAGCTTTTTATTGATGTGGGTTATAACTATTGGTATTGATCTGGGATTCAAAACTGATAATTCTTTAAGAACTTTTATTAATTAATTTAAAAACTTATATGACTATATACATAGCATATGCTTATGAAAATTAAATATATAGCTCAAAACAAAAATTGTAGTAGGAAGAGTCACATGTTTTTGCATTCTTACAAATTCCTTTAATGTCTAGCCTAAAAGACAGCTGCATTAATGTTTCTGCCTTCACTCTTTTGGGATGTGCTGTTAGAATTAAAGTGTATTCTGAAAATATGATCTCACTGCAGATATGCAATTGAAAAAGGGAAGAGTACTTTCATGGCCTTTTCATGGAATTGTGAACATTCACACCTGATTCAGCAATTGGGAGTTTCATAAAGTAGTTGCATGATGGAATGTGAAATCTTATTAAATTTTTCATCCAAATTAAAATCAGTTGGTCCCCCCTGCACTTTAAATAAACCTTGCACACATACATGATCTTTTAAGCATTCATTGGTAAAATGGAAATATTGCTTCACTGAATTATGAAAATTTCCCAAATGTTATATCTCATCATTTAACATCAAAAGTCACATTTGTTAACATTGCCACCCATGTTATCAGAAAATTCTTTAAGTACTTGGGAGCAAAAAGAAGTTTTCTAAAATTCTAATTTTTTTCACAAGGTCAAATTTTACCATTCACACCCAATACTGATAGCTACTTTTACTTTGTTTCAATGAAGAATCTACCACCCACCTAAATCTGAATGATGACAATGTATCATTCTTTAAGCAAAGATGATTTTCCATTAAAAAAACAAAAAAGAATGTGTTCACCTCAAAATTCGAACTGCATATTTTCCGTGAGACAGTCAACACACTTCATTATGTACAAATGCTTCATACATACTTTGTCTTTTGTTGCACAGAATATTAAAGAGATACACTTGAGGTGCTCTATTAAAACTTCATATTTAGTACTTCATCAAGAAAATTTTCAATAGAACTGCTGTATATTGTTGTGTTTTCTTTTCTGTTTGAGTGCAGAGTAGTGAGGAAAACAATGACTACTGGTACCCTGAGGTGCTCTGCACTGAATCACACTAAGGTAGCCAGCAAGTTCACAAACCACTGCTTTTACACCAACAGCACAAATGTCAACTCAGTGAAGAATCAATTATTACAACTTTTTGAGAACCACTGCTTAAGAATAAAAAAACAGAAACAAACAAAAAAAACCTGACATCAAATAGGAAAGAAGATATTCTCAGAAACTAAAAAAAGGAAATATGACACATTAATTCCTCGCCAAGTGAATGAAGATATCATTAACAGAAAGAACTATTATCATTAAGAAAAAAGGAAACTGAATCAATTTTGTTCTTTATAGTGACCATAGCCTGCTGCTTGAAAAAATAAGACTTGGTGGTTTTGCAATATTCCAATGGGCCACTGGAATGCATTTGTATCTTAGAGGTAGGTTAAAAGGAACAGAAAACATTGCCATTGGCCAAAAAACAGAAAATTGGTTCAAATACAACACCCAAAATTGGACAGTAACCCATAAGAATCCAGATACTATCTTTTATATTAAACAAAGTAACAAATCAACATAGTCAGCCACACTTACTAAAGGGGTAGATTTGTTAAAAAAAGAACTTGTTTTCAGGATAACCACTTAATGCTTGGAATCTGACATGCAAATTTTTCTTCTACTTGTCATATGAACTTTCATACTAAAGAAATTTCTACCTTCAGAAGTAACTCTAACAGGACTGGAGGCATGGCTCAAGTGGAAGAGCACTTGCCTAGCAACCACAAGGTCCTGAGTTCAAACCCCAGTTCCACACAAAAAAAAAATCAGAAATAACTCTAACAGAATTAATGCTGACTGTGATTAAAGTAATAACAAGCTCTGAAGAATTATACAAAGGATAAAATTTAATAAATCAAACTTATTTATAATATTAAAAGTTATTACTGTGTTTGGTAGACTTCCTAGCATATAAAAGAATCCTGCTGTAAATCCTAAAGCAAACAGCCTACAATTTGCCTTTATGAAGTTTCAAATCACAGTATGCTATACAGGATAGTGGTCTAGAGGTGCCTACAGAGCTGCTATAGAGTGAATCAGAGATATGAGAAGAAATGAAGACGGGTACCCCATCAAGTTCTAAAGAAAGCTTGGCCAAAAACAATTCCACATTATTACTTTACACAAGTTTCAGTACCACTGCTATATAGGAGAGAAGAAGTGCTTACTTGAAAAACTACTAGTGTGCTCGAAAACCAGTAAAGTCCAAAGGCAGTACAAACTTCACAAATATCTATGGATCAAACTGGGAGCTTCAAAAAGCCAGTGAGTTATTTTTGTGTACCCAAGAACAGCATGCACCCAGCACAGTGCTTCCACAGGAAGAGACTCAAACATTTAGTGAATGAATAAATGGCTATAGAAGGTAGGGAAAAGGAAATGATGGTCAAGGTGGAAAATATGAAATACATTTCCATATTTTTCAAAAGGACAGCACAACATCAAATAGACTCCACTAAAAGCACAAGCATAGGCAAGCATGTAATATTTATGCAGTGGAATTTAATTAACCATGTGTACCCACCAGGCTTGATGTCCTTGTAGACAAAGTTTTCCAAACCATATATGAACTCCCTGGAATGTGCGCCTGCAGTCTGCATGGCAGCAGTAACCAAAATGCAAAGCATTTAAAAGACATCTTCAATTTCACATGTGAACTATGCCTGAACTGAATGTCAAAGAATTAGAAATGACATATTATGCAGCTGAAATTCAATGAGGCCAAAACCAGTAATTTCTAATGAAATATTCACAGTGACTCCATTTCCATTCTTTTAGCATATGAGTTCATAAAACAAAAATTCTGAGTTAAAACTCTAACAATCATTTCAAATGAAGCAAAGCACAAAAACAATTATGGCTAATAACACATCAAAATCTTTTGAAAAATTTTCAAACAGAACAAAAATCTGCTATTTTGGTTCTCTTTTTGCCTGTCATTTGGCCCATTTACAGAAACTGACTGTGATATTTGACACTAATTTTGGAGTCGGCTGAAATGATCTCACCTTACTTTAGAGTGATCTGTTCCTTTTAGACAGACTGTCTGAAACCTTTCTATCCTTTCTGTTAATGACTACGAGAAGCACCAAGTACAATTTCCCTCCCCAAATCTAGCTTAGCTAGACATCACTAAGAGTTTAACCTCCATACAACACAGCTCTGATCAGCCACTCCCTGGATTACAACGAAAGAAAAAGGAAAACTTTCTGACCCCCCAACAGCTACAGACTAAATGCACTATAGCACAGGGTTAACAATACAGGATCTAGAGCCAGACTGAATATAATTTCTGGTTCTACCATGTTCTAGCTATGTGACCTAGGACAACTTATTTGACATTCACAGCTTCTTCAACCGTAAAAGAGAAATAACAGCACTGATATTATAGGGTGCTAACTGTGATATGAGTTAATTCACATACGGCATTCTGAACAGTGACTTGCATTAGTAAATGTTCAAGAAATGTCAGCTGTCATTGTCATTATCATTATCTTCATCATTAAACCACTCAAATCTCTTTAAATTGACCTAAACTTGGCTTCCTAACTTTATATCCAACTACACTCTATCACCTACCAAGTCATCACCTGTTCCCCATAGATGCTCTACACTTCTCCTCCTTTACAGTACCCTCTACCTAGAATGCCCTCTCCTTTCTGCATTCTTTACACCCCGCTGAAATACGTAACTTCACATTGTCTATCCTGATTTCTTTGGCTGAACACAGTATGTTCATTCTGAGCTCCCATACTGTATACCTCTTTCACAGGACTCAACAATTTTTCCTGCTTATCCTTAAGCAATTCACTTGCCCAATTCAAATGTGAAGGGTTTGACAACACTGTTCAAGGATATTCTAATTTTTCTGTTCCAAGGATGTACACAGCAGACTGACATTTGAAATTTCAAAAGCCCCTAGAAGCTAGAAGACATTGTCTTCAAAATCCTAATTATAAACCTAGTAGTATATGCCAGACAAAGCAATTCTAGAAGTAAAATACAAGGCATTCAGCCATGGAGGAATTTTCAGAATTATGATTGAAGCTACTCACTGTATCCTTTATCTAGCAAAAAAGGAAAACTAGAGGGAGGGGGGCAAAAAAAAAAAGCAAGGGACACAGAGAACAGTTAATTAAAAAAAAAGTTCAGTTGTAGATCTCTCTTGCCTAGCATGTGTGGCCTGGGTTTATTTCCACAGCACTGCAAAAATGAAACAAAACAGTTCAAAGACAGAACTCCAAGGAAAACAACAGATTAGTAAAGAAGAACAATAGATGGATTATGGTAACAGTAAAATAACAGCAATACTTGCATAACAGGCAAAATGCATGTAGTACATGAAAAAAAACAAAGGTAAGTTAATTTACAAAAAAAACTAAGCCAAAAGACGTATTTATAATTCAAGAAAAGCAAATCATTGCATACTAAAGAAAATATAACCATAGTATATCATCTGACCTGTACAGTGAGCAGTAATTATACTGGCATAGCAATATAAAAATTGACTAGTAATTGGCTAAAAACCAGGAGGGGATTAAGAATTAAAGGATATAGTAAGAGATGTAAAGTCCTTACCTAGCATAATAAGAATTCCTAGAGAATGCCTTAGGTCAGGGAACCAGATGATGACAGAATGCAATTCCCTCTAACAAGGGGGTCCCAAGAGTACAAAGTATGCAACAGGGGACTTCTACTTTCCATCAGAAGAGGTTCTTCTGCAAAACTATCTGATTTTGAGGTGTGCATCTTTATCACTTTAGTAAACTTAACATTTTAAGCACAGAAACAAGCATTTGGAAATCTTTTGGCCTTACTAGAGAATTATTATTCCCCTTTATTTTATGATAGCCTTCATGGGTGGGGGGAACCTCACTCCAATGAAAAAAGGAGATCTGAGTACATTTTCAGTTAAGCAAACTCTCTAGAAATGAAATTATACTTATATCTCAATATTTGTTCCAAAGTTTAATGGCCAGAATTCGTGTTTTAGCGAGTGGAACAAATTAAAATAAATCCATTTTTTAGAGCAGATCAACATGAGAATGTTAGTTTTAACTTAATGCAAGCATTAAAGACCTGGGAACAAAATTTTCATAGGTATTCAGTACAAAATGTATACCAACTTATCATTTTGCCAATTAAACTGACAACTATTAAAGCAGATGAAACTGTACCATTCCTTTCTTACAAATCACTAGAAACTCAAACACTAACTGAGGTTTGAACTCAGGGCCTAAACTTTGAGCCACTCCATCAGCCCTTTCTTGTGAAGGGTTTTTCAAGATAGGGTGTCACAAACTATTTGCCCAGGCTGGCTTTGAACCACCATCCTCCTGATCTCTGCCTCCTGAGTAGCCAGGACTACAGTGTGAGCCACTGGCATCCATCCATTCCACTAAAATATTTTCTAATAACAAATTATTTTCATCAAAAAAAGTAAAAAATGACTTTCAGACTTAATATCAAAAGAATGTAAACTATATGAATTATAAATGTCTGTTTTATCAACATATATATGTCATTATGCCTACTCATAAATATATAAAATTATATGTAGAGGCAATATATTTAATCTGAAGATTTTCAAGACATAAAATTCTACTGCTCTCCAAGTCTTTCTCATTTCTACAGTGCTCCTCCTTCTACATATAGTAACCACAACTGAATGAAGACAAATAGAAAACAATGAGTTGCCATTAAAAAAAATCTGCAGCTTGCTTCATTTTGCATACAAAAGCAGCACAGAGAAACTGTTTTCCTAAAAATGTAGATATTTAAGTTTCAGTAGAAAAATAAAATATTCTTAAGTGTAAAAATGAAAGGAAAAAAATGTTCAGGCTTTTAAAATATTTCTTCCATTTTTTTAGCCTCTTTGCTTTTGAATAGTAACTTTTTGTAAAAGAGTATTTCTGCATAAGACAAATATACTTGGTACAGAAAGGATTTATATCAGTGCTAAAGAACTTTAATAAAGGGCACTGTTTGTTGCCCAGGTGGCTGTGAATTCTTGGGCTCAAATTCAGCCTTCCAAGTAGCTAGAACTACCACCACCACACTGAGTTGAGAAACTACTTTGAAAAGAGATTTCTGAGGTGGGCATAGTGGAACACACTTGTAATCCAAGCATTCAGGAAGCTGAGGCATGAGAATCTCAAGTTCCAGGCCAGCCTCAGCTACACAAAGAGATCCTCTCTTGGGAAAAATTCAACTAAGTCAGCGGTGTACGTTAACATGCCAACAAATGACCCAAAAATGATGCAAATACCAATAACTCTTGTATTCCAATCAGCAACTGGGATATGATTTGACTTAAAAGAGATAAACAGATCAGACATTGGGAAAGTCCTTCACCTTATCACTCTATAGACTACTGTTTTTCATCTCATCCTGTTCTTGCTTTCTCAACCAAAAGTTTTTTTTAAAATTCAGAAAATTACAAATAAAAAGTTTAATTTCAGAAACCAAGTTCACCATTTATTAACACTGAAGCATACACCATGCAAACTTAGACTAAGCATAGGTACAGTATTTGCACAAAACAACTTTTCCTTTGAAAGATTAGGCAAATGACTGACTTACGTCACTCAGAATATTTAATGTATTTGAAATGAGAAAATAAATCCTTTGTTAGATGTTAAAGCAAAAGTGAAGACACTGTTAAAAGAATCTGACAACTGCTATTTCATTCTGATGTCCTTGGGGTTCTTAAAATAACCAGTAATGACCTAGTCTTACCTATCGTAGAAAAAGTCCAAATGCCTAATTCTGTCCTCACCAAAATCAAATTTCAACTAATAAGCCACCACATTTATGTTTAGATAAAAAACAAAATTTAAAACTTGAAGATGCTGAAACGTTTGAGCCCTAAAAGTAGTAAGATTTTTTAGATATCCTACACAACAGGAAGAAACAGGTAGAACAAAAGTTACAGCAACACTTTCTCCAAACATCATTTCACTGTAATAATATCTTAACCTCTTATCTTGCAAAAGCACAAGAATGCACACAAGGAATGTCTTAACTTTTGACCAAAACAAAGAGGCCTGCAGGAACTTACAGAATTTGAAGTCTCCTAAAGTAGCAGTTTTACTGTGCTATTTAACTGAAAAGAGAGTATCAAACTGGCAGTGAAATAAATCAATCACAGAAAAAAGGCAATGAGTCACTAAAATATTTACAATCAATATTTTCAGAGAGGATTTTAAAAGATTCTGTCTTTAGTAGCTTAAGAAGGCCTATGAAAGTACCATCTTTCAGTCACATTAAACAGATATAAAATATAGGTATATCCAAGTAATCCAAAATACTAACTTATTTACCTTTCTCTGCTGCTTTTTGAAGGGCATCTTCAATTCCAGAAAGCTCTTTCTGTTTAATATCGTGTAAGGATTTTTCTTCTTTCTCAGCATCATTTTCAATACCTAAAAATATATAATTAATTTACACAAAAGGAAATAGAATTATACATAAATAAATGAAGGGAAAAATTTAGCCTCATTACAAGAATGTACATGTAACATAAGTTATTACCTGTCAGTCCAAAAACTCTTCTGCACTATTTAGACTAGTTTTGAAAAAGTTTAAAAATAAATGATTCCTATTTATTTATGAAGCTTATATCAAAAAGGAAAAAATGAAGGGAAAGAAATTACAAGGAGAACTGGAGACAGGAAAAAAGAAAGGAGGGAGAAGGTTACATAGACAGTTAAAAGCAAGAAACAAAGAAGACAAAAATGTACAAGAATATTGACAGCTATTATACCTCAGTAGTGACATTTTTATTAAGTATAAAAATGATGTAACATCGAATACTACCTGGTATCAATGTACATCGACAAAAAAAACCTTTAAGAAAGTAGTTCAGGCACATAAATCAGCTATATATGTACATATATATATATAATATAGATATAAAATCTTTTTTCTCTAATTTTCTTATGTCTGATAATGTATACTAAGGAAATAATGCAAACAACTAAAAATTGTCTACAAAGAGGAGATATTTACTGGGTTTGCTAACTACAGAAAACAGTAGGTAGCCCTTAGTGGAGTATCAGATAGCCATATAAAATTGTCACTTCAACATGGAAACTGTGAAACATATAAAAAGTGTATACATTATTTGATAAAGCCAGATCAATGTATATATAATATGGTAACTATTACTTTATATATTTTTTAAATGCTAAAGACTGGTAAGCAAAATGCAAAACTAAAAATTATATTTGCATTGTAGTGGAAAAATTAAAAGTAATTTTCCCTAAAACATCCAAATTTTTCCTATCAGTTAGATAAATACACCTAACTGAAAAGAACATTAAAAACAGAAGCTACTACTTTAATATTTTTAAATACTCATTTAAATTAAAATACTATCATTTCCATCAAAAAATATGTCACACATATTTTTGAACAGAAACATTCATTTAAAATCAGAACAAAAGGAGGAAAAAATTAATTTTCCAAGTAAAATCTGTAACTTACCACATCATCAGTACATTCTTAAAACTTTATTTTTCATTCCTTAATAGTAAATCTGATAATGCATCTCAAAAGCAAGTTTCAGATGCAAAGTAATTACTCATAGAGAATAAATTTAAAATAGGTTGAATTTATTCTTTTCAATACCATAAAAACTTTTATATGCAGCTATAGTAACATATGTGAATACATACATAAAATGCATATATATGTGTTCCATATATGTATATTTATTTATTTATATTATCATCTCTTACTAAATATATTAGAATATTATCCCAGATAACAAATTAATTTCACTGTGATGTAGGACTGATTAACAAAACAGCAACATACATACTTGTTCCAGGGACAATCTCAGCTATAATCCATGCAGGGTAGCAACACCTGCTTCTTCATAAAGGTTTTTCCAAGGAATTTTCAAAGTTCATTTATCTAAAGAAACATAATTTGAATTTTATATCCTTATTTTACTGCTCAAGAGGCTACAAATTTCTCACTTTCCAGTAAAAGTGTAACAAGACTCTCCACGAATACATTAGGTGTATCACTCAGAAAAAAATTAAGGAACTAAAATAAGTTTACAAAGATCTTTGAACATTACTGTCAACAATAAATATTCACGTTATATTTTGAAATTTTTTGATAGTTATTACCTCATTTAATATTCCCAAACTGTAAGATAAATAAAATATCTGTTATTTCAATTTTGAAAAAAAAAAAAGGAAAACTAAGTCAGTGAGGATGCTGGAACCAGAACTCAGTGCATGACACCTCACTACTGCACATGCTCTTCTACCCCCACCAACAAAAACCTTAGAGATGACCTGTAAATATCTGTGCAAGATCCCAGGAATTCAAGCCAATTCTCAAGTACCAGAATTTGGACAGTAAGTCAAATTGCCACAATTGCAAATGGCCAGCCTAAAGGCAAGAATACTGTTTTGCATCATGTACTATCAAGTACTGTCATGTTATATATGTCATGTAAATAATGTTATGCAACTCAGGTCAGTTATATTTATAAATCACTTGGAAGCAGAACACATTTTTCCCCTTAGAAATAACAGAATTAATGTCAGGTCCTTCAGAGATGAGCCGACAAAAACTTTCACACACAACATAGATAAACTAAGGCCCAAATATTATTAAACGGGAGAAAAGACAATACAGGACAGAAGAGAGAAGACAACTCAATTTTGAAATGTGTAAAATCTGCCTTGGGTTTCTTCTGATATTTCTTTCTTTATCCTCTTCCCAATCTTTAGTGACCTTTTTCAGGTCTCTAGGCAGCTAATGGCCCAGTTTGCCCTAAATAATGCTAGAGCAATTCTGCCCAAACCTTACCTACAACTAAAGTTTTCCATGTTCCAAAACTAAAATACCACCCTTCCTCATAATTTTTTTAAATAATGATGCTTTTAATGCTTTGGTTTTCTTGGTGCTGCTGATCAAAATGTTTAGGAGAAAATAATCTGATTAAACTCATTTGTGAAGGACTGAGACACACTAGAATCTCTAGCATTTTTAAATGAAGATCCTCAAAATTCATAATTTATAGTACACCAAGCTGAAGAAGAAATAATGTTATGTAAGGGAGGATATTTTGATCACCTGAATAGCGATATAACCAAGCCAGTGCTACCTGTGAATTTATTCCAGGGTTAAAACACCAAATTATTTCTCCCTTATGAATGGAAGCTACGCACTGATGGCTCATATCTGTAATCCAAGCTACTCTGAGGTAGAGATCAGGAGGATCTCAGTTCAAAGCCAGCCTGGGAAAATACTTTGTGAGACCCTATTTTGAAAATGTTCAACACAAAACAGAGCTGGGGGAGTGGCTCAAGTGTTAGAGTACCTGCCTAACAAGTGTAAGGCCAAGTTCAAACCCCAGTAGCACCAATAATAATAATAATAACAATAATTTCTCTTTGGCTTATAAACCTGCTGAGTTTCTTAAATGGTTCTGAGGTCAGGGGAAATCTGGAAGTAATACCAGGATACTTCAGAGTCACCTCTAAGTCTGATGATTTTACATTGAGTAACACCCATACTTATGGGATATTATTTGTAGTGGATATTATTTGTAGTCATCGCCTAACAAAATTTATTTGATGGCTTTTTTAGTGATAAGACTAAAAAAGTATGAAATGCTCCTTTAAAAAAAGAACACTTCTACATCTGTCTTTGTTCCTTTTACTGTAACTCATTATGTCTCAGATCTCAAAAAGGTCTGGGAATTAAGTTAGTTAGATTACTGTCTCCTTTTATAGATCAGGAACTATTTCTTAAATTTAAGTAAAAGGATAACTCAGGGACACCCTTAAATATAGCTAGCACTTAGAAAATGAAACCATACTTAGCTTACTTAGACAAAATGACTCTACAGGTGAAGAATAATATTTCAGCCTCAGCAGAAATCTAATGACTAATATAATGCTCCTAAAAAAAAAAAGGCAAAAAAAAGAAAAACATGCTTGCAACCTTATATGATATGGGTCTCTTGTAACTCAGTGAGTAAACCTGGAGAAGCTAATAAATCCTTTTGATACTTTAAAAACAAAAAGAACAAATTTTGAGCCATTAATAAACCTCCTTGTAAGAATACAGTGTGTAATACAAAATTTCTTTAGTTACTATCACTCATCCAGTACACTGGAAACAGAATTTCAATCTATGTCCTAATTTTAAATCTTCACAAGTTTCTGGAAGACAAAGATATCATATTCGCCCTTGCCTCTCCCACAGCAACTTGCACAGTCTTTCACATGGCATGTGCTTATAAATATTTCAGACCTAAAACAATGAATGAATGGTAGTAACTTCTATGTTGTAGGCTGTCAATTAAGCATGTGGGGCAATAACAATACTTCTAGAGCACTGCTCACGTGACTACAGTGAGCACATCTGATAGAGATGCTTTAATTTCAGGCAACGTCTTCTACTTCATGTGATAAAAACATGAAAATATTCCTTCATAACAAATATAAAATAGACCTAAACAGTTATATCCATGTAATTATTAGTGAAAGTCCTCATAAAATTCCAAAAAATTGTGTTGGAGACAGGAGGAAGTAGGTGACCTAAGTGAAACTCCAACATTAGAATAAGGTATCTAGGGTTGCAATTTTTCTATCTACTTTTTTTAAGTAAAAAAATCAGGTATTATGGACTAGTCAGGAGAACTTTGTAGATTAAATTTCCTATTGAAAAATTTCTCTAGCAAAGATACATGCTTAGTTAGGAATGGTCTTAGTGTTTAGGGTTCAGCTGCAAATACTCTATACTTACATTTCCTCCCTACCACATTGCTGCATAATATATCAAGTGAAAATGGTTGTTGAACAAAACATGAGGGAAATCAGCTTAATTTAAAGATTAGTTAACAAAATTTGTAAGTTATACTACTTTCAGATATAAAGAAAAAGCATACAAAATTTGGTTATCAGTTTTGAAAATGAAGACTTAATTTGTGCAGTGGTACAAAAAAGCCTGAAGAATATGACGGTGATTCAAATGTCCTTTCATTTTACAGAATAATTTTCTAATCTTTTGTTTAAAAATTTGAAGTATGTAGGTAATATATATAATTTATATTAGGTTAAAAACTCTGAAATTAACATAGCCTAAAAATCTTTCACACTTTTGGTCAAATGAATAAAGATTTCTTAGATTAAATAGCACACGTAAAATAAAAAACTAAAAGGACTGAGGAAAATTCAAATGAAGAGTAAAGTACTTAACCAATTTAGCCAACCTTGACTTTAAAAGGAACATCTAATTCACTCTTCAAAAGGAGGAAAACATTTAAAAGACAACTTAAATTATTAAGTACTCCAAAAACTTACTTTTATTCATCATTTAAATATACCTCTAAAGAAGAACAAAAAACACGTTGTCTGTATTTGAATAACTAATACAGGATGTTTTATAGCTAAAACTGTTTTTATTAAACTTTGACTCTGCAACAAACAATTCACAAGTAAAATTATAAATAAGAAAAACATCTGTGAAGAAAATTATTAGATAAAACAATTACTTGTAATAAATTGAATCAAAACATAAGTTCAAGAACTGAAGTACTCTGTCTCAAACATTAGAACAAATAGTCCTTCACACAAACTAGTTGAAAACAGTTAACTGAACAATTCCCTCACAAATAAAATATTTGGTAAATGAACAAATAAATCAGTTAAACAAGAAAAGATCGATTCCCAACACGTTATTTACTAAATGAGCATTTCATTTAGTTAGCTTACAGACACAGGACAACAACAAAAAAGATTCACTCAGGTAGGTTCCAAACTACCAGAAAGTTCAAGTGACTTTTTATTCAGAGTACTAAACAGTAACTGGTACTTGCTATGATCAGCTAAGTCTTCAGAATTATTAGAAGTTTAGCCAGTCAGTAAACTTTCTACTAGCTGCTGCCTTAATGTATATGAGCACTCTGGAAATCTGGCCACTGAAATGTAGTGCGTTAGGTTACAATTAGTTAAAATAATCAGTATGCCCAATCATCCGATCACTCCTGCATTCTAGGTGAACAGGAATGGAAGAAATTAATGATAGTTGTTGGCAAAGTCTTTTGCAAACCGCAACAAGAAATCAGCTCTGCCCACCCAGAGCAGAAAAAATAAATATAAAAGAATTCACCTAAAACAGGAGACAAACCAGAAACTGCTTATTTCTAAATCACTGGTCTCATTCTCATTTTTATTCTCCTGAAGAATTTTTCCACACCAAATAAATGTAAAGAACACATATCAAAGTAAAATCTCAACAATCTGGCAAAATGGGGAATGGAGAATATAAATTATGAAACATTTTATGACCAAAATTCTAATTTGGCTAGTACAAGGTTCAATTTCTCATCTAACTATGTTACATATAAAAAATATATAAATATATATATACACATACATACATACATACACACACACAAACACACACACATACATATCTTCCCCTACAATTCTATTCATACGTTTTTATAAATTATCATAAATTGAGAAAAATGAGCTTTATTCCAATCTCTAGCAAGATTTCTAAATTTTTAGATAAATTTTTACACTGTGGCATGCCATGCAAAGAGAGGGAAAGAATGGTTAACTACTTTGAGTGCTGCTGTGTGCCAGGCACTCCTTGTCATATTAGTCTAGCCACAAAGTCACAGATGCACTGCTGCTGCATAGTCTACTCTAGGATGATTACACTGATGCTCAAGAATATTAAGAAACTGGAAATTTCTCAGTATTTTTAATTTCCTTCATTTTCAGAAACTTGAAACCTTAATGAAAAGACTTCTTACATCACTAAATTAAATAAAGATAAGCACAATAGCATAAATGTAAACCTAACTGGGGGAGGGGTGTGGTTTTGCTTTCAGCTCAGTAGTAAGGGATGAAATGACTTACTGAAGTGGGAGTAAAAAGTTCTGTTTTACCTCTTAATATTGCCACAATACTCTAAGGTTAGACTATCCATACATTATTTCCAAAAGTACAAGTATTTATTAGATAGCTTGTTAATATAAAGGTCTTATTTACCTGAAAAACATGTAAGGATAATTTTGAAAAAAATTTCTCTCAGAAGAATGCACATTACAAAGATACATAGTCAAATTAGGTCATAGAAAAACATTCCATTTTCAAAAACATACTATTTTGATCATTAGGAAAAAATTCTGAATCTTTAATCTCAGATTTTCCTATGGCAAATAGTTAAATAATCCCTCCCTTAGGGATTCAATCACTTTATCTGGCTTCTGATACCAGATGCCTAGTAACCAGTGGTTTCTAAGAGCTTACCAAGTTAACTGAATTTTTAGTGTAACTTAGGAAAAAAAACTTGCCAGAGCATTTTCTTTTATTTGTAGATTATGTAAAGCCACATTATCTGTAAAAAAGAGGAAAAATACAGCACTAATACACCATTTATCTGTCATTAATGTAGTATCAAATACTATAAAAACAATTCTAAGAGCTAAGAACACATGGTGAAGGAAGGGCCTGAAAACTAAATGTACAGGGAGAAGGCAGACTTCATAATACACCTATATTTCAGAGCAAAAAAACGTAGAAAGACAAGGGTAAACATTCACAGAACACCTAGAGTTATACAGTATTAAAGGGGTTTGTGTGTCCACAGCATCAACAAAAACATGTAAGATGAGACATCATAATGCTCAAAAAGCTGTTTTCTGAGAATATGAAATTTTCTAATTTTATAAAATAAGTTGTTCAAAGCTGCAATAAAGGAAGAAAAGCAGGTAAGAAGCCTCACAAATGGGCAAAAAACACAACAACATTATGATAAGAGAGAAAGTAAAAAATGCAATCTGGCAGCTTCTATAACACTCTGAAAAGAAATTAAAACCTAAAAGGCGGCTCAGGGTCAAAGTAAACAATGATCTAGGAGATGGAGGTATGGCTCAAGCAGTAGAATGCCTGCTTTGTAAGTGCAAGCCTGAGTTCAAACTCCAGTCCCACCAAAAAAAACCAGAATGATCTGGGAGGCAGAACTGACAGATGTCATCACTGCCAGATGTCAGGGTACTAAAGTAATCATGGAAGACTGACACGTGCTCAGCACTTGGGGTAAAATTCTTAAGTATTACATGCTCTAATATTATAAAAATTAGACAAATATTTCCGGTTTGACTCTATTGCACAACGAATTGAACAAAATTACAATCGAGACCTCTGTTCAAGATATCAAAAGAGATCTGCACAGCTGGTGATACCTATTTGAAGCCATTCAAATAGTTAACAAGGCCTAAGGTCCATATGGAGACTTGCAAACCTATGCATGAGTCCTGACTCCTTCCTCCAAGAAACTCTCAACTGGTGGGTCAAGTTCGCCAGGAGTGCTCAGGAGTTATCTGCATAATAGCTGGTAAGGAAGTAATACAAACATGTGCAGTATCAAATCAGGAATGCCCTTACACAAAGAGGGCTGTTTCAATTGCACTGACCTTTTGTTCTTTGAAGAACAGGTGATATTTGATACATTGAATACTGAATATTACCAACATGGCTAAAATATTAAAGAAGAATATTTAGAAAAACCTACAGGGAGATTACAAGTGACTGTCACTGGGTGGCAGGATTGAGAATGGCTTTTTTATTAATGGCTTTCAGTATTTTCTAGTTTTTATAATATATACTACTTTTTTGGGCAGTACTGAAGTTTGAACTCAGAGCCTTATGCTTTCTAGGCAGGCATTCTACCTCCTGAGCCATTCCTCCAGCCCTTTTTGCTTTAGTTAGTTTTCAGATAAGTGTGTCCCATTTTTCCCCAGGGCCCAGTTCAAATCATTACAGGCATGAACTACCATGCCGAGATTGTTTCTTGACATAAGGTTTCAATAGCTTTTTGCCTGGGCTAGCCTGAAACCACAATACTTCTGATCTCCACTTCCTGAGTAGCTGGGAATATAGACAAGCATCACCATGCCCCGTCTCAGATATTAACTGTTATGAGGAATTATGCTACAAATTATAAGGGAAATGGAAAAATAAAATGAAGGGAAATAGTAAAGTCAATATGAACTCAATATTTTTATGTAAATTCTTCCTAGACCTATTATCTACCTTACCTACACATACACAAGAATAACAAAGATTTCTGCTACTCACAGTCTAACAAATGCATACTTCCTCTCTGAAAACAGTGAACATGATCTAACAAACAGTAACTACAGCAATCTCATTCTATAATTATTTGCACTGAAAGAGGAGCCATGAGTCCTAATACAAAGAGAAGGGAGGAACAGCAACAGCTTTCAGATTAATGCCAACCCAGGGAAAGAGGTTAAAGTGCATTCATTACTTCACAGATGAATGCCCCAGCTAGAAGGCACTTCTAAAGCAAGTATTTCCCACTCCACCACAAATTATTCTCACAAACACGGACGCAGCATTTCTTTACATATCCCATGAATACCAAAATTCCTTTCTGAGGGGGGAGGGAGACCAGGGTCTGGCTATGTACCCCAGATTGGACTCAACTCATCATTCTCCTGCCTCAGCTTCCACCATGCTGGGACTGATCACAGGTTTGCATTTAACCAAGTATGAAAAGGAGATTTCCTTCAAGGAAAAATAGGAATTGCATACACATACAAGCAACTTTACTGTTATAGCTACACAAAGGCCACAGGAACTTTCTACAAAAAACAGAAAAGCAAATATTTGTGTCTAATCTTTTAAGAAAAAAAGGGGAGGTCAACATGACTAATGATGGGAGATGGATACACCTGACTGCCAACAAGGAAACAACAGCCAATCCCACCATCAGGTGGCTCTCAACCTCATAAAGTCCAAAGAGACCAAGGTATGGGACAGGAAGGAAAGCTCTGTGGTCTCCTGAGCAGGAATGGCAGGCCTTAAGAATAAGGAAAGCTACAGGTATAGTCTTGCTTTACAGAAGCCCCAATATAATGATCAAACATTTTAGATGAGCACACGCTGCTGAAAAGTGACACATAACATCGATCTTAAAGGATAACTTAAGAAATACCCCTGAAAGGGTAAACCCAACTGGTGGCTCACGCCCATAATCCTAGCTACTTGGGAGGCTGAGATCAGGAAGATCGTGGTTCAAGTCAGTCTAGGCAAACAGTTCACAAGACTCCATTCCTAAAATAACCAGAACAAAATGGACTGGAGGGGTGGCTCAAGGAGGGTCTGCTTTGCAGGATGAAGCCGTGTTCAAACCCCAGTCCCACAAAAAAAAAAAAATTTACCTGATAATCTGTGTTAATAAGCCAGAAGTTGGAAATGATTGTAAATCCCATTAAATTACAAAATGACAACAAGGGTTAGAATCAACAAGGGTTAGAATCATCTTAAAAAGAAAAAAGGAGAAAGTAATAGTTTCTAACTCACAGAAAACAAACAAGTTAATGTATTTATGAATCAAATGGAACTGACATGTAACATGGCTGCCTAAGTCCAAGAATGCCTTTTAAACAAGTAAGAACCTCCAAAATGAACACAAGAAATGTAGTGATGTTAAACACCTCCCACCAGAAACAATCTCTCCAAATTTCCACAGTAGTTTATGCTGTACCTTTACCAGTACTTATCACTTAACCTTGTATATATCCCCAACCTCACCGTGAACTCCTTACTTCTTTTCCTCATAGCAGGTACTCAATCAATATGACTTAACTGATTTAGAATGCATTTAATGCTGGAGTGGAGTGGAAGCAACTACAATAAGAATGTAAACTTAGGCCAAGTGTTGTATGCACACCTATAATCCCAGCTACTTGGGAGACAGGATCCTACCTGGGAGGTAGGAACAAAAATTTGAGGCTTGCCCTGGCAAAGTTAGGGAGACCCTATCTCAAAAAACAAAAACAAAAAAAACCCCAAAACGGTTGGGGACATAGTTCAAGTGGGAGAGGTCTTGCCTAGCATACTCTCCAGCAAAAAGTAAATAAAAATAAACTTGTATTTTAGAAAACATTTTCAGCTCTATTACATGACTAGATTCTCACAGCCTCTTGGGCAGCAGCAAGGACATCTTTACTACAAAAGAGAAACTGAGACTTAATGAGGTTAAATGACTGGCCTAAGAATACTATGGCGACCTAGTAAGTGGCAGAGTCAGCACTCCAATCCTCAATGCTCGATGCTGTATTCAGAACATCACACTCTCTTCCAAACAGCAGAACAGAAAGGGTACAGGACTTAAACTCAGTAAATTTACTTCCTTTGGGGATTAAAATACCAATAGCAAAGAAGAATCAGAACCAGCCTTGAGTGGCCTGTGTATTTGTAGATTCCACTTTTGATCTCTGTATTTTAAGAGATGTAGAAAAAAAAATCCAAAAATGAAAAGGGTTTCTAAAATTAGCACAACACAGGCCTAAGCAAAAAGGAAAGCAGCGTCAAGGGCTTATGTCAGGAGCACTACCAGAAGGAAGGACAGTGCTGCAGGGGAAAACATATGCAAGAGATGGCACTGCAAAATGGCCATTTCAGGACTTTAAAAATCTACTCTTTTCAAAACAGAAAAGAAACTCAGAAGGTGCATTTTACCACCACTGGGCACCATACAGATCTTCAATCTAACCTTCCCTCACTTTATACAAGGAAATGAAGTCTAAAGTGATGAGGTGGTTTGTCCAAGGTGCTACAACTACTTTGTGACAGTTCTAATAAAACCCGCGTCTCCTGACTCCCTGGGTCAATGTTCTTAACAGAACACAAAAAGCTTAATCCAAAACTGCGACTAAAAACAGAGGCAACCAACACCCAAAAGTCACGCCCTCGTCCATTCGCATAGAGTGAAACTGTGAAAAAAACAGAGCCACTTCGGTACTTTTTAAGATATCTTCCCTGCCTGTCCCTCCCAGGCCCTTCAGAAGAGGAAGCCAGGTCCTACCTGCTGTAAGATGCTGGCGAAGATGAGTGAGAAAGGCCATTTCCTTTCCTTTTCTTGGGAGCCGCTTTACTGAGCGCCGATCGCGGGTGGGGAGAGACGCGGGGAGAGGACGAGGTGGCGCGGGCGCGCTCCCGCCTCCTCCGGAGCCCGTGGCTGTCACCGGACGGCCTGGCGGGCCGGGTGTCGCGGCCCCGCGCCCTCGCGCTTCCCGCCCCAGATGCCCATCTTCAGCTGGGACTTGTTCAGGTTCTCCACAGAGTCCCCCAGGAACCGGGTCCGCAGGTCCGCTGCCACCTACTCCCGCATTTTGGCGGGACCCAGGCGACGGCGAGAAGGGGGAGGAGCCGGAACAGCCAAGTAGCTGAGCGCCGAGACCCGCCCCGCGAACCACATCACTCGGCGCCGCCCCGCCCACCACACTTCGCGGCTGGCGCGCGCGTGACGTCACCAGTGCTCAGGCGCGTGGGGCGGCCGACCCCGCCCACCCCGCCCTGGCTGCCAATGACAGCGGAACCACGGTCTGTCGCAGTGGCCCTCACAACACCGGGAGAAAAGAGCGCAACCAACCACGTACCTGGACTTGGCCGCCTTGCCGGGGGTCCCACTCCGCCTGCCACGAAGCCGCTGGTTCCAGAAGCTGCTGCTCAGAAAGACACTTCGATCATTGAAAAGCGCCGGGGTGGGGGGAAGTCCACTCAAGATGGCAGGTAGAAGAGGACCCCAATATGCGATGCCTTGGAAACGCAAAGTTTCTCCCGCCTCTGACATCACTCTTAGTTAATTCATAAACCACTTTTCATCTTCTACCCATTATGAAAATAACGGCCAACCTTTTTTTCATGAACAGCGAGTTACCTCTTCTTTCTATATGACCGTGGCACGCTGTCCCTCATCTGTCTGCCTGGCAGGGCATTCAAATCAGAGCTTTTAAGGCTGGTGAAATTGAACCTCCCGCTGACAAACCAATTCTCTCTTTACAGAACTGAAGGCTTTCTTTTCTAAGATATATTTTCCTAAACATGTTTCAAAAGCTGTTGACAAATAAGACCATGTGAGACATGCTAAGGTTACTTATAGTCACAAACACTAATAGCACCCTAAATTACAGCTCTATATGGGAAAGACATCAAGTGCACAGGCTAACTACTAATGAACATTTTACAAATTCTCATTCTTGCCTGCAAGGTGGCTCATGCCTCTAATCCTAGCAAGTCAGGAGGCAGAGATTGGGAACATCACATTTCAAAGGCAGCCCCTGGCAAATAGTTCTTGAGGTGCTTTTTTGAAAACACCCATCATGAAAAATGGTTGGTAGAATAGCTCAAATGGTAGAGCACCTGCCTAGCACATGTAAGGTGCTGGGTTCAAACTCCAGTGCCTCGGAAAAAAAAAGTTATCATTTTTAACTTCATTCTGGCTTAAGAACAAGGGAAAGGACAACAAAACCAATGAAAAAACTACATTTCAACGAGTGATAGGACAATATAAATGGTTGAGCAAAATATTTCTATTAAAAACAACTCAAGGATATGTAAAGTAGCTCAAGTGCTAGAGGGTCTATCAAGTGCAAAGCCCCGAATTCAAACCCCAGTACTGTCAAAAAAGAAAAAAGTAGAAATTAGTAGACTTTTTTTAAAAAAATAACAATTCTTTAAAAATTTTAAATTCTTTTCATTTTTTTGGTAATACTGGGATTGAACTCAGGGCCTCATGCTTGATGGGAAGCACTCTACAATTTGAACCACACCACTATCCTTTTTGCCTTTTTTTTTTTTCTTCTTCTTTTTTCAGATAAGGACCTGAGCTTTTGCCTGGGCCAGCATTGGACTGCCTCCTGAGTAGCTGGGATTACAAGAGTGACCCACTATGCCCAGCACCCCCACATAACACACCGTTACTCAACTGGAGAAAGCTAAGTATAAGCCATAAGACCATGAAATGTATGAAAACTAAGGAAAGTTAAGTAAGAGACAGAAGTGGATAGCACAGTATTAGTGGCACAGGGAAGCTTACAGAGCAACTGGTTAACCCAGCTCCCTCATTTGACAGAAGGAAACACTAAATACCTAAAAGCACTAAGGGACTTGCCTTCAAATTAGTCACAGGGCTAAAATACAAATGACCTGACACCCTGGTCTGTGTTTTCTAATACACCACACTCAATTGGATTGAATGAGAAATGTAATTCAGAACATTGGTGTTGTATTCATTCCTTGTAAACTCTCTTCTTTTCTTGACACTCACCCTCCAACGTATTACTTTGTAAATCTACTTTTTTCTTATTTTTTGACCGAAACATAATAATTTTACATTTAAACTAGGTACAATAAAGTGTGAGGTTTTGATTCATGTATACATTGGATAAGGATTTACTCAGGTAATTACCGTATCCATCACCTTCAACATTTATCATTCTGTGATAAGTATTCAGAGTGCTCTCTTCTAGATAATTTGATCTACAATGCATGCATGATAGTTACATTTGCCTTACAGTACCCTAGAACACTAGAACTTATGCTTCTTTCAAACATTGAACCCATCATCTAGCTTTCTCCAGTCTTCCTTCCCAATAAGTCTGCTTCCCAGTGTTCAATTTCCTTTAATTCTGAGAGCACCTCCCAGCCTCAAAATGTAATCTCAGTTCACTTCACAGAATCATTTGCATCTTCACTACTGGATGTTCCTATGGCTACCACAGTCGTCCTCTGAGTAGATTTGTGAAGTCCAGGCACTCGGCCTGGCCCTGGAATACCGTCTTCCCAGGACTGGGTGGCTGATGCTTCTGTGTTAAGTAAGACATGACGCTTATTTTGATCTCAGGACACCAGAGATGCCACAGAACATCTCAACTCTTTTGAAGGAATATTATACAGGAAATGCTTCTGAGGTGTTTTTATTAAAACAAAAGCAAATCTGTTTTGCATGGATGGGAGAGAAATGTTTTTAAAGGACCACTGTGTGAATCAGCTAGTCCTTGGCCAAGCAAAAAAGCATGATGAGAATACTATTGGAACTTCTCTGCTCCCAAATCCTGCATATCAGCAGGACCTTCCCCTCTTTCCAATTCTATTTTTCCTCCCTACTTTATTCTGTTTTGCTAAATAAATACTAGCCAGAAAACCACTTTGCGAGTTTCATTTTTGTGAGGTTCCTTTTTGGGAAACCGCAAATGCTTTTCATTATGATTTTGAAATTCCTGTGATATTTGCAGAAATCAGAGTGTGGAGTCGAGGATTCAAGCTAACTAAAAAACGGAAAAAACAAAAAAAAAACAAAAACAAATCAAACAACAAAACATAAAATAACCAAGAAAAATAAGCAAAACTAAAAGCCAAACACCAAAAGCACAAACACACTAGCTCTGTGTGTCTAGTAGGTCACCAAGCAAGAGCTTCCTGCACCATGTGAACAAAAATGGAACCAAGGCCACTTCATTATACACTCCTTTACAGTGACTCCTTCTGAGGTCACAGAACAAAATGGACCATCAGGGTTGGGTCCCCGTACAGTGGGTGTCTCACTTTGGGGCACCTACCTTTTTCGTTTCTGCAGTTTTCCCCAGGTGGGTTGGATGCCTTTGCTGGGCATACCTGGCGCCGGAGTGTGTGAGTTCTGGGGCTTGCTGGACACCGGCTAGCTGAACTTCTGTCCAGCCCCTCCAATTGTCACTATTTCAGTCCACACCTAGGAGGGATCCCCCTCCTCAAGGCTGTGGTAAGGTCCTCTTGCTCTCCATTACCATCCGCTTGCCCTCCTCGGTGGCATTCGTTTGAACAGGAAGGAAAACAGCACATTCTGAGAAGGGTGGTGACTATCCTCCTGGCGGCTCCTCTCCAGCCCCTGCTCCTGTTGCGTTCAGCACCTCTGATCACCTCCTGGGGCTGCCCAACTGGAAGGGCATTTTGTGCAGAGCACTTATGCTCAGATGACTTGCCTCCTTTGAGTTCCACGCAAGCATGTGGGGGGACTCTGCTGGCGTTTGGGCTTCTCCTCTGCGGGGTGAAGAGGGGACTGGTGGTCAGGAAGATTCTTTTGCTGCCATTCTTTCCTGAGTTGTGGTCATTCTGGGGCAGATTCAATTTCCATGTTAGGATTGAGAAGGAGAAAGAGCTAAGGCTTGCAGGTGCGCTGGCTCTCCTCCTTAGTGTCTCGGGACGGGTGGAAAGACTTGCAGGAGACGGGCAAGGTGGAACTACTGGTTGTATAGAATCAAGTTCCATAGGGCAATTAGAATCCTGGCGTGCCCGCTGTTCAAACAAAAGGTACATGGCAGTGGTGTCATTTATTTCTCTATTTTGTAGTGATCGTACAATTTCTCTAGCGTCATAGCCTATGGCAACCATAGCCGATAATATGGCAGGGTTCAGGGATGCAGCCAGGGTCTGGACAGGAGGACTGGGAGCATCTTGGTGGGCCCAGGCATGCTCCAGGATCTCCTCCACCGTGGCCCTCTGGCTGGAGTCACGGGTCAACAGACGACCTAGGATGTTTTTTAACTCAGCAGAAACACGCCTTGGAAGGTGGTACTTTGCACACAGGATATTCTTGCGAAGCTCCTGAAAGTTTCTGCCCTGAAAGGGGAAACCTCCCACAGTCATGAAGTACAGTACTACTCCCAAGCTCCAGGCATCGGCCTTGGGGCCATGGTACTTACAATAAAGAAACATTTCAGGCGCACGGTGTGACCAAGCGCCGCCTGCCTGACACAGCTGCTCTCCTACCGTGAACCTGGTGCTCATTCCGAAATCACAGATTTTGATTGTGTAGGTGGAATCCAATAAAATGTTATTGGCCTTAATGTCGAGGTGTGCGACACCCTGCTGGTGACAATAAGCCAATCCCCAACAAATTTGTCTGAAAAATTCACGGGCCTGGGTCTCCTGCAGGTGGTGGGACTTTCGAACATACCGTAGCAGGTCCCCCGACTTGCGTATTCAAGGATGAGATAAACCCTCTCGACTGTTTCCTTCACCTCGATGAGACGAGCAATGTTGGATGCTGCAGCGTCTTCAAAATGGACACCTCACTTTTGATGGAAGCATTAAATGTTCCTTTCTTCAGCACTTTCACAGCGACATCAGTCCCTGTGTCACGATGAAAGGCTAATTTTACAAGCCCGAAGCTGCCTCTACCGATGTTCCTTGTGACCTGATAGCGAGAGGTCAGGACATCCTTAGTGGAGCTAACCAAGAGGCCAGTCAGCCCCTTAGGACAGTCACCACTCATTGGAACAAAGCTAACTAAAACACAAAACCACCACAACAAAGAACAATGAACAAACACCAACGCTAAGACTGTGAACACACTCTAGCAGGTCACCAAACCAGCTCCCTGCATAATATGAGCAAAAATCCAGCCCAGGCCACCTCCTTATATACACGCAGTTATTATTCCATCACAATGGGTCCTTCTGAGGTCAGAGCAAGAAATCGACCAATCAGAACTGGGTACACAGAACAGCGGTTGGGCCGCAAATAGCTTTTGCTTTTTAATTTTAGGAGACTCCAAAAGTTCTTGCCATAGCTTGGTAATAGAGACTCTCATTTACTCACAAAAAATTAAAGTCAGTATCATGATTCAGTGGCTTCTCATTGCAAATCTGAAAATTTCTTAAAAATGTAATTTTATACATCTCATTCTATCTACACTCAGGATATTCAATTCCTTTCTCTTAAAACCCAGAGTGTTTGGATTAGTGTCCAAACAATGGTACCCTTTATGCACATGGTGATACCATACCAAAATGCTTTGTCCCTAAGACACCATGGGCATATTATTAACATACGTGAGCCTGGGAGAAAGAGGGCTTCACTGTCATTTTCCCAAAAGGTTCTCCTCTGATTTCTCATCAGAAGTCTTGCACCCAGAAGGCAGTGGTTGATATATGCAAAATGATAAACCATCAGCCAAGACTCCCATATGCAGAAGGGAGTCTTGATAGAAGGGAAAGATGAAGGCATTTCTGTGGGGGGGAGGTCCATTTCTGCTACTGTAACAAAATACCTAGATGAGGTCATGTATAAACAGCAGAACTTTATTTCTCAAAGTTTGGAGGCTTGAAAGCTCAAGATCAGGCCCCAGGAAATTCAGTGTGTGAAAAGGACTTGATTTCTTCTTCTAATGTACTAGGCTTTGACTGTGTCTTCACACAGTTGAAGGGCTAATGTGTTCAAAAGAACACAATATACCAGACATACTTGCACCTACCATCCCAATTTAACAAGTGAGAGTTTATTTTATTTACTGCAGATCTTTCCTCCTTCTCCTCCTCCTCTTCTTCATCCTTCTTTGGAAAATTTTCTTTGGGAATATCCCTGGCTGGCCCTAAATTCTTGATCTAAAACAAAACAAAACAAAACACCTCACCCAGTATTATTAATAACAGCTATCTGTGAGCCAGAACTTGCTACCTGCTCAGCATGTTCCTACATCTCTTGTGCGTGTGTGTCTGTGTGTGTCTGTGTGTCTGTGTTACTGGGTTAGAACTCAGGACCTCACAAATGCTAGGCAGGCACTCTACCACTTGAGCCACTCTGCCAGATCCCACTTATCTTTTTAAGTACCACAAGTGTTCTGTATGGTGTATATTACTATACTATGTTCATTTAACAATGGACTCACACAAGCTAGTGAACCAGAGTAACAACTTCTCAGTGTGATCGCTGATTTGCTCCTCATCATTTTAACCAAGGTCTTTCTGCTCTCACATAGCTAAGTCATCTTGTCTCTTGAGAAAGTTGAGTCAGAGCACATGCACATGGCCTTCAAGTGGGTAATTTGGTAATTTTTCTCCCACAGATTTAGGAATAGGTGTGATATCAAGTAAAGAAGCTGAGCCAGGCATAGTGGCTCATGCCTGTAACTCTAGCTACTCAAGAGGCAGAGATTTGGAAGATCACAGTTCCAGAATATTCAGGGCAAAAAAGTTAGCCAGAACCCATCTCAACCAATAAGTGAGGACTGAGGACTCATGCCTGTCATCCTAGCTACACAGAAACTTAAATAGGAGGATTAGGGCCAGGCCCACTCATAAAGAAGCGTGTCTGTGCATGCAGCTCAAGTGGTAGTGCACCTGCCTTGCAGCAAGTGTGAGGCTTTGAGTTCAAACCTCAGTATTACAACTACAGCAACATCAAACAAAACAAGCTAGTCATGGTCATTTTAAACCAGGGACACTCTCCAATCTTGCCTGCCAAATCAAATTTAAAATAGGGTTCAGAAGTCTTTCTTACTCCTGCCTCAGCCATGTGGAACTCAAATATGTCATCTTCATTTCCTTCCTCTTTTGATGGGCAAGAACATCTTAGACCACCTGCCAAGCATGGTGACTGGAAACCCAGGAAGATTCAAATGTACTGCTTTTGAATGAATGAATGAATGAACTAATGAGCTTTTGTTGTTTTCATAATAAAATAAGTATAATATTTGACATTATTCACATCTGCTTCTATGCTAACCACTTCATAAGCACTATCTTGTTTTTATCCTATAACAAACTGATGAGTGGATATTATTACCAGTGTTACATTTGACCCTCAGAAAGATTAAGGAACTTGCCACAGTAAGCTACTATTCTGAAATCAAGATCAGACATGATTTCAGACCAATTTTTTTTTTTTTTATTATTCATATGTGCATAAAAGGCTTGGGTCATTTCTCCCCCTGCCCCACCCCCTCCCTTACCACCCACTCCCCCTCCTCCCCCCACCCCCTCAATACCCAGCAGAAACTATTTTGCCCTTATTTCTAATTTTGTTGTACAGAGAGTATAAGCAATAATAGGAAGGAACAAGGGTTTTTGCTGGTTGAGATTAAGATAGCTATACAGGGAGTTGACTCACATTAATTTCCTGTGTTACCTTCTAGGTTAATTCTTTTTAATCTAACCTTTTCTCTAGTTCCTGGTCTCCTTTTCCTATTGGCCTCAGTTGCTTTTAAGGTATCTGCTTTAGTTTCTCTGCGTTAAGGGCAACAAATGCTAGCTAGTTTTTTAGGTGTCTTACCTATCCTCACCCCTCCCTTGTGTGCTCTCGCTTTTATCATGTGCTCAAAGTCCAATACCCTTGTTGTGTTTGCCCTTGAAATAATGTCCACAAATGAGGGAGAACATACAATTTTTGGTCTTTTGGGCCAGGCTAACCTCACTCAGAATGATGTTCTCCAATTCCATCCACTTACCAGCAAATGATAACATTTCGTTCTTCTTCATGGCTGCATAAATTCCATTGTGTATAGATACCACATTTTCTTGATCCATTCGTCATGGTGGGGCATCTTGGCTGTTTCCATAACTTGGCTATTGTGAATAGTGCTGCAATAAACATGGGTGTGCAGGTGCCTCTGGAGTAACCTGTGTCACAGGCTTTTGGGCATATCCCCAAGAGTGGTATTGCTGGATCAAATGGTAGATCAATGTTTAGCTTTTTAAGTAGCCCCCAAATTTTTTTCCAGAGTGGTTGTACTAGTTTACATTCCCACCAACAGTGTAAGAGGTTCCTTTTTCCCCACATCTCGCCAACACCTGTTGTTGGTGGTGTTGCTAATGATGGCTATTCTAACAGGGGTGAGGTGGAATCTTAGTGTGGTTTTAATTTGCATTTCCTTTATTGCTAGAGATGGTGAGCATTTTTTCATGTGTTTTTGGCCATTTGAATTTCTTCTTTTGAGAAAGTTCTGTTTAGTTCACTTGCCCGTTTCTTTATTGGTTCATTAGTTTTGGGAGAATTTAGTTTTTTAAGTTCCCTATATATTCTGGTTATCAGTCCTTTGTCTGATGTATAGCTGGCAAATATTTTCTCCCACTCTGTGGGTGTTCTCTTCAGTTAGAGACCATTTCTTTTGATGAACAGAAGCTTTTAGTTTTATGAGGTCCCATTTATCTATGCTATCTTAGTTGCTGTGCTGCTGGGGTTTCATTGAGAAAGTTCTTACCTATACTACTAACTCCAGAATATTTCCTACTCTTTCCTGTATCAACTTTAGAGTTTGGGGTCTGATATTAGATCCTTGATCCATTTTGAGTTAATCTTGGTATAGGTGATATACATGGATCTAGTTCAGTTTTTTGCAGACTGCTACCAGTTTTCCCAGCAGTTTTTGTTGAAGAGGCTGCTATTTCTCCATCGATATTTTTAGCTCCTTTGTCAAAGACAAGTTGGTTTTTGTTGTTATATCTGGGTCCTCTATTCTGTTCCACTGGTCTTCATGTCTGTTTTTGTGCCAGTACCATGCTGTTTTATTGTTATTGCTTTGTAATATAGTTTGAAGTCAGGTATTGTGATACCTCCTGCATTGTTCTTTTGACTGAGTATTGCCTTGGCTATTCGTGGCCTCTTGTGTTTCCATATAAATTTAAGTAGATTTTTCAATCTCTTTAATGAATGTCATTGGAATTTTGATGGGAATTGCATTAAACATGTAGATTACTTTTGGGAGTATCGACATTTTTACTATGTTGATTCTACCAATCCATGAGCATGGGAGATCTCTCCACTTTCTATAGTCTTCCTCAATCTCTTTCTTCAGAAGTGTATAGTTTTCCTTGTAGAGGTCTTCACATCTTTTGTTAGGTTTACACCTAGGTATTTGATTTTTTTTGAGGCTATTGTAAATGGAATTGTTTTCATACATTCTTTTTCAGTTTGCTCATTGTTAGTGTATAGAAATGCTAATGATTTTTCTATGTTGATTTTATATCCTGCTACCTTGCTATAGCTATTGATGATGTCTAGAAGCTTCT